ATATTTGTTTTGCCAGTCAAGGACAGACATAAAATGACTGGCTGACTGAATAAATAAGGAAACTAAGCTGTAATGCAAATCAGATGGAATCATGGTAGCACCCAGCTGACTTTGTAAGAACTTGAAAACCAAGCAGAGTTGGATCTCATTCATACATGGATGGGAGACCACCAAGAATAGATGCTAAACTAGGAATCTGCAATAAACTAAGAATCTATCTATCTCCTGGAAAAAGGCAGGGGCAAACATTGCTGTACTATTACCAAGAGGTTTATGGTATCTGTAAAGAAGTGTTTCTCAACTTCACAATGTGAAGAGTTGTGGACTTCAACTGCCAGAATTCCCCAGTCAGCATAGTTGCTTAAGGAATTCTGGGAGTTGAAGTCCACACATCTTAAAATAGTTGAGGTTGCAAAAAATTACTCTAACGTCACCAAGATTCAAGCTCAATTTAAAGAAAAATGTCCTTTTTAAACCTGAGTTTAAGGTTTAGTTTGTTGTGTGAACGAGTATGAAATAAAAAGAGAGTCCCTTTACAATAGCAAGGGCTACATGGAAATAGTCCCCCCCCCCCAGTGATTCTATGCTAATTTAACATCCAGGGTGAGATACCATAGGAAGCAAAATTCCTGTCTAGATTATCATGGCTAGTTACTAAAACCCTAAGAATGATAAGCAGCTGGGACTTGCAGATAGCATGTCCAGAAAAAACACCCTTTTTCACTAGCACATTTAATGCTCTCTGATTAGAAGGTCCAGCCATCAGCAAAGAAAAAAAAAAAACCATAATATTAAGTTTGCAATCCATGACTCCATCCAATTACACTCAAAGCAAAAGCAAAGACATTTCTTCAGATTTTGCAAATAACCTTCAATGCAGCTGCTCTTTTCTGCTGGGGCTGCTATCATTGTCTGCTGCAGCCTGGTTCAAATACCAGCACTAAATTTGCAGCAATGAAGCAGCATTCAGAAGAAGCATCAGAGCCTTCCTTAAATTCAGCCAAGGTTTGCACAATCTGATCTGCCAAATTTTGGGTCAGCTACTGGCTCCAATGTCAGCCTCGGCGTTGACTTGACCAGTATTGAGTCAAGTTAGAAAATAAGAAATTCAGTCCCCTTAAGGTTAAGTGTATTGTGTGAATGCCATCAAGGACTAACCCACGGCTGGAAATTCTACAAGCAAGATTTGAGATTTCCTGTTTTCAAGGAAAAACAAAGTCCAGCTATCTTTTGAATAAGCGCCTTTGGGACTAAGAATCTCCATAGACAAGTCAATGAACAATTTGCCTACTAGGGCTGTACCTCACAATTTTGGGGGGACAGAGATCCTGCAATGGCCTTAATAGTACTCTGCAAGAAAAAATCCAATAGATAGGCCTTTTTCCCAATGTGAAGGTGAAAAAAATAAGAAAGGAATTCCTATAGGCACATTGAAAAAACAAATGATGGTCTGCTATTTAGTAAATATTTGGTACTAGAGATTTTAATTTATTAGTCATTTAGTCTATGCTTTTTAAAATGTTTTCTATAATGTGGAACACAGGGTTCAGTCAGGAAACCTGCTTTAAATGCTTACTGTTTTGAAAATGAGGACTATATGTGTGCAAAATACTTCTTTTTTTATTCATTCATCCCTTTGTTTAATTGTTTAAACAATTGATATAGTTGCCTATTTCACCAAGGTGACCCGGAGTGGCACACAAAGATTAAAACCCAAAACCATTTCATAAATCGTAAAATCAATATTCAATTTTCTTTTCAAATCAGAAGCTTTAGAAGCCAGACATTCCCAATGGAGCAGGTGGGTTGAAGGATTTATTTGGAAATTAGCTTCTGGAAGCATCTAAAGAAAAATGAAACAGCAGGAAAAGCAAAGGCACCACAGCTTTTATTTTACTTTTTTATGTAGTTAAAAACCCCATTGTCTCAAAATATTCTTGAGCAGTGCAAAACATCAGATGAAATAAAATGACAGTAATAATAATTAAAAAGGGAATGCCATCATAATGAAACTACCCATGTCAAAGTATTGATAGCTTTGCATTGGTTAAAAAAAAAGATTTCTTAGATGACTATTTGGATGCTCAAGTTCTCATTTTAGCCTCTAGACTTGGTGGATCCAAATACTGTATGACATAATATTTAGGGTTAGGATTAAAAATTAACCAAGATAAATGTTCCAGTTCCAGCACCCATTGCAGGAATAAATATCAACAAAACTGTAACAATCTCTCAAGCATAGATCTTAACACCTAGTGACTTTATGGACATTACGTTGTCAGTTCGACAATAACACCAAAGTTATTTGCCATTTCTTATTTAGAATTCTGAAATGTCTCAAGTCACCCATCCAAGGATTTGCCAAAATCAGCTCTGTTAAGCTTTGAAAGACCCATCAGCTAAAGAAACTCAAGATGGAACCCCCATTATATCATAACAAGATGGTTGCAAACAGAATTTTCTATACCTCTCTGCTGCCATCCCGGAAACACTCTGACTTATATAGGTCTAATGATCTTCTGTCTTAAGCCAGTCATTCTCTTTCAGCCCTAAGAAGAAGGCAAGGGCAAAACAGGTTCAAAAATCTTGCAGGGACTAATCCAGGCAGTCTCCAGGAGACAACAAATTGCCACAAACTCACTCACTTGCTCTCTCTAAACCAGTATTTCTCAAATTTAGTAGCTTTAAGTGTTAATTTTAACTTGAAAATTCAGTTATTGGCATTAAACAAAAAGTTAGCACAACTTTGAACAGCTACGCAAGCAAATCCTGTGAGGTTTGCCATCAGATGTATCCTTTTTTAAAATATATTTTATTATTTTTTTTAACAAGCATAAGTCACTCAATAATTGGTAAACAGTGTGTTGTCTGAGTTACATTTGTGAAAACACTCCTTAACAATTGATTTCTATAATCTGTATTCCATCTATTAATTTTAATTGATTTCCTCTTTCCCCAGAACATCTTTTTTGGCAAACATTAATACCATTCTTATTGTTTTAATAAATAACAATTAATACCATTCTTATTGTTTTAATAAATGACAATATTCTTTTTCCAATATTCTTTAAAAATAATCATCATATTAGTATAATATTTCTTTTTTTTTCAGTCATTTGAGTTGCCTTATCATCAGTCCTGTTACTATCCTTATTTTAGTTTGTTTCTCCCACCAAATTCTAAATATTTTTACTAATAAAGGTTTTCTCAACAATTGGTTACATTTATATTGACAGATTTAATTCTGTTTTTCCCATATAAGCCATCTCACGTTTTTACATTTCTTAAGGAATAGATAAAAGAGTAAAAAGAGAGAAGAAAAAAAGAAAAACAAAGAAAAAATAAAAAGGAGAAAAAGCAAGAGCAACGAAACATAAGAAATAACATACTGCTTAGAATATATATCCCTCCTAGGTTAATAAGTATTTATTTCCTCAGATTTGTCCTATTATTAGAAACATCCTGGAAGCAAATTTTCTGAAAATCAGGTTATTCCTTCTTTCCTTCCAGGACTAGTATTACATATTTTATCTATTCTAGGGCTACTGAAGGTAACTTCAAAAAAAAAACAAAAAACCAGATAACAAGAGATGAATACTAGAGAATCTCCTTAAACCAGCTCTTTATTAGAAAATAAAAGTGTGGAACTCCAATCAATAAAGTTGGATTTCAAACCCTTTCATGTTTGCTAATTGACTCAATGGAAAGATAAGTCTGTTGAATTAACCTATAAGTCAGTCAATACTAGAAAAAAGAGGGCTAAATGTCAAACTACCCTGAACTTCCTTCACCTGGTCACGTATATGGTTTGAATAACATAATTCTATTAAAAAGTGAGATTTGCAAACCCTATATATAACCAGCTCCCCCAAGAAGACTATTGATATATTCACCAATGTTTTTCAAACTTGTCAACTTCAAGATGCATGGACCTCAACTCCCAGAATTCCCCATGCTGGCTGGGGGATTCTGGAAATTGAAGTCCACACAACTCAAAAATGCCAAGTTTGAAAAACACTGGGTGTGTTGTCCAAAGCTCTATTTGACTATAATCTGTTTCTTCTTTGCCTTTTCAAGTCAACGGCTGCTGGAATTGGGTATGTCTAGTTTAATGAAGAGAAGGACAAGGGGGGACATGATAGCAGTGTTCCAGTATCTCAGGGGCTGCCACAAAGAAGAGGGAGTCAAGTTATTCTCCAAGACGCCTGAAGGCAGGACAAGAAGCAACGGATGGAAACTAATCAAGGAGAGAAGCAACCTGGAACTAAGGAGAAACTTCCTGACAGTTAGAACAATTAACCAGTGGAACAACCTGCCTCCAGAAGTGGTGAATGCTCCAACACTGGAAGTTTTTAAGAAGAGACTGGACAGCCATTTGTCCGAAATGGTATAGGGTTTCCTGCCTGAGCAGTGGGTTGGACTAGATGACCTCCAAGGTCCCTTCCAACTTTATTATTATTATTATTATTATTATTATTATTATTATTATTATTATTATTGTTGTTGTTGTTGTTGTTATTATTATTTATTCAATTTGCATAGCTGCCCATCTCCATCTATGTAATGACTCTTAAGTAGACACACCAGCAACCCCCAAGTTTGAGAAATACTGCTCTAAAAGATGCTTTCCTTGCATTTCCGCCAAATGTCTTTAGAGATTCTCAGACATCCAGGTCGTGGTTGTTCCAAAGGTGGTTTTTCCAAAAGGCAACTGAACTTTTCTTGGGTTTTTTTCCCCCCCTCAGATAACGTTCCCGGCCTTTGAACCCGGCGGCCTTTAGGACCGCGTGAAGACGCGTAAAGAGAAAGGAAGAAGGAAAGAGCTCCAGGGTGGAGGGCTGGGGCGAGAAGGAGGAGGGGAAAATAGAGCGGCCAGTGACAATAGGACGGACGGCGCGCCAATGAGAGGCGGCGAAGGGCGACTGTATTTACATACCGCCGCGACGTGGCCAATAGCTGGCCAGGCGCACCTGAGCCACCTCCCCTAGCCGGGCCGAGCGGCCAAAGGGGGAAGCGCGAGTCCGCTCCACCCGCCCGACCTGGGGGCGGGCGGCCGGCGGGCCGACGGCTTCCCCGCCGCTGCGACTGGCGGTAGTGGCGGCTGGGGAGAATGGCTGCGACTGCGTGCGGCTCCCCGACTAGCCGGCCGCCCCAAGAGGAGCCTCCGGAGGCAGCGGCTGGGCTGGCGGCGGCGGCCGGGGCTCGCAAGCGGGGCGGCGACGCGCGGCGGAGGCAGGCCGCCCTCTTCTTCCTCAACAACATCTCCCTGGACGGGCGGCCGCCGTGCCCGGCGCCCGGCAAGCCGTCGCAGGGGCAGTCCGCCCTACTCGCCTCGACGGCCCCGGGGGAGCCTCAGCAGCCGCCCCCGCCGCCGCCCCCGCGGCCGGAGGAAGAGGCAGGGGGAGCGGCGTCGGCGGAGCCCGCGCCCCGCCTCCTGCTGCCGCCGCCCCCCCACGGGCCCCCGCCGGGGTTCCCGCTGCCCCTCAAGACTGAGCTGGACCCTTCCCGAGGGCTGGGCGCGGCCGCTGCCCTCCTCCCCCAGCTGCTGCTGGGCAGCCCGCTCTGCCCGGTGCCTGCCGCCGCCGTTAGCCCGGCCGCCCTGGCAGGGGTGTTGGTGGGGGCCCCCAGGACGGGCATCGCTCCCCCCGGACTGCTGAGCCCCAACCAGGGCGCCCCTGTTGGAGGAGGAGGAGGAGGACTACCTGTGGAGGTGCCGAGGCAAAGGTGAGGGTCTCTCTCTCTCTCTCCCCCTTGCTCCCGGGTCTCCTTTTTCCACGGGGGGGGGGGAAGAGCTTTGTGCCGTCTGTTTTTGATGGTCTGCAAGCTGATACCACTTTCTTATCCAGCCGATCTGCTGGTGGGCATTAGCCCCCTCCCTGCTGAGTCTTCTGGATTGGGGAAACGCCCCCCCCTTCTTTTCTCTCTCTGCCTCTCGTCTGAATGCCTTGTTTTCTGGCCAGCCGCGAGGAAGGGGTATTGGGGCACGTCCTTGTCTTTTGCAACTTTCCCCCCTGCCGAGTGCGTGGGGTTGCACCCCACTCACCGCTTTAGGATGGGCTGACTGTACTTGCCCAGTGGCCACCATCCCAGCGGAAGGAGGCTTGGGGCAAGGTAGCGTAATGTAAGGCAGGCGGGTGAGCCAAGATCACGTCTGTATGCGGTGCTCCGGGGACCTCTGGATTTAGGCTGAGCAAACTTTTGTGTCGGCTTGCAGCGCAAAAGGGTGCCCTCTCTCAAGGGAGCGTGCAAAGCTACGTCTGTATGCAATCAAAGGAAACCTACATAGCTTTATCCTGGATAGGAAGATCCAGGAAAGGAAAGTCAGCCCAAAGCCAGGGGTCTTCTCATTATTCCCTAAAGGAGAAGGAAAGTTGGGAAACGCCTCCCAAGATGTTTCCACCTGATGCCCTTGACCAGAAGTGCAAAAAAAAGGTAGCCCTGAGATTGCAGCTGGCTGGCCAATGTCCTTTTGTGACCCCCTCCCCAGACCCCATTCAGTGATTGGGCCCTACATTTTAAAGGGTATTCGTGTGTGTTGTTTGCATTTTCTGGATTTAGGACAGGGCTTTTCAACCTTTTCACCCATTGTACCACTTTTAGGATATGGCAATATCCGAGTACCACCAGTCGCCTAGCAAGGTGTCAAAAACTTGATGACCCAAAAAAAAAAAAAGAAAAGAAAAAAGTGATGAAGTACAGATAGTCCTCAACTTACAACAATTCGCTTAGTGACTGTTCGAAGTTACAATGGCACTGAAAAAAGTGCCCCCGAGCAGCCGAGCAAGACACCTGCCTGCCCACCTGGTGGCGCTCTTCCTCCTGTCTGAGGTTTCCATTGTTGTGAGCATTTCTGTTGAGGATTGGCAGCAGGGGTGGGGTGGGGGGATGTTTGGTTTTTATCCCCCCCCCCCTCCTGTCTGCTGGGTGGTTGCAGCAGGTTTTGGTCACTTCACATGACCCTGGGACACTGTGACCATCATAAATATGAATCAGTTGCCAAGCATCTGAATGTAAATCACAAGACCCTGGAGATGCTGCAACATTCCAGCTGATCGGCCGCTTCTTCTGGGCTCAGCAGATTTTTGCTGTTGTGAATAAGTGAATAGCGTTCTTAGGCTTAAGCTCAAAAAATAAGAACGCTTTCTTTGGAAAGTTTAAGAAAAAAATCCATCTCCATGCAAAATTCCTACCCCCACCATCATAGATTTGTGTGTGTGTGTGTGAGAGACCATCAAAGATTTTGTGTGTGTGTGTGTGTGTGTGTGTGTGACCTTTAGGGTGGGCACATTGATTAAGCCAACAGATAAGCTTTGACTGATCTTCAAAAGCTGAGCAGGCTGAGACCTATCTGGATGTGACATTGTTAAGAACGACTGCAAAGCAAACTGTAAATCAATCTGTAGACTAGATCAATATGTAGAATAGATTGAGAAATTGAAAAAAAATATATCTTGGAAGAAGTCAAAAGCAAACCGTTTCTGTAGTGTTGCCAAGAAAATATGTTCATATGTTCATTTCATGCTCTACTCTAAGGGAGACTTTTATGAGTTGTTCCATGTTTTTTACCGGGAATCTATGAATAAGCCTAAAATTGGCAGAGATGCTGTGAAGAAGGTAAACATAAAAGATTCACTGAGCACCTAGACTCTGGGCCAAGTGATTTTTCAGAAATGTGCTATTTTGGGCATTTGTTGCAATCTTCAAATCCGTAAAGCTAGTTGGCTGGTCTTGACCAAGTCATAGGACCCTGTTGCAGCATTCATATAACCTAGTTTTTGAATTAGACCATTTTCTAGGTTTGCATAATGCATGAGACCATAAGCAAGTTAAATATAATAAACTGAGCTACAAAATACCTAAGTTGATTATGTCACACAAGTACAGTTGTTGTCCCAAATGTGCTTTTTCCAAAAGGCAACTGGACTTTTTTGTGTTTTTTGTTTTTAACTTTGAAATATTTCACTTTTTCATCCAAGAGATTTCTTCAGTTCCGAACTGAAGTGAAGAAACTTCTTGGATGAGATGTGAAATATTTTCAAAGGAAAAAAAGACCAAAGGAAAAAAAGACCAAGGTTTCCTGCCTGAGTTGGGGATTGGACTAGATGACCTCCAAGGTCCCTTCTAACTTTATTATTATTATTATTATTATGGATCATCGCACAGTCAGCCAGATGTTCAGACTGGATTTGGCATTTTGTCTACCTATCGAGTCCTTACCCAGGACCTGGGATAGGCAGATGTGGCTGTTTGATGGTATTACAGATATCGTCGCAGGATGGAAGCAGTTCCTAATAAGGCCGCCTTTTGCAATTGACTAATAGCGAATTTGTCAATGCCAATTGTGTTCAAGTGGTGCTCCAGTTGTTTTGGGACTGCACCCAAGGAGCCTATGACTATTGGTACTACCCTTGCTTGCTTTTGCCACAGTCTGTCTATTTCTATTTGTAGGTCTTTGTATTTTGTTATCTTCTCCAGTTCTTTCTCTTCTATTCTGCTGTCTCCAGGCACTGCCACGTCCACTATCCAGACTTTTTTGTTTTTCTTATCGACAATTGTTAAGCTTGGGGTGTTATGTTGCAGGTGCTTGTCTGTTTGAATTCTGAAGTCCCAGCGCAGTTTAATTTTATCATTTTCTATGACTTTCTCTATTTTATGATCCCACTAGTTTTTGCTTACAGGCAAATGATATTTTTTGCAGATCTTCCAATGCACCATTGTTGCTATGATATTTTTTGCAGATCTTCACCATTGTTGCTTATTATTATTATTATTATTATTATTATTATTATTATTATTATGTCCAGTTGCCATTTGGAAAAAGCACCTTTGGGATAACCATGGCCTGGGTGATTGAGAATCTCCATAGACAAGTACAGTTGCTAGTTTTATTACTGATCTGGGACTGTGTTGTGTGGACACAAGCATTGTAGCTTGAAATAGTGTTTTAATTCCTCCTATTTGCAATTTGTACATACATTTCCTTCCAGGTCATAGTAAGAATATCTAGTATATTTTTCCACACATAGTTTATTTATTACATTTATATCCCTCCTTCAGTGCACCAATTCAACTAGATACTGCCTAAAGCTACCTTTTCTTAGACTGTGGAAATATTTCTGAGATAATTTAGAAAAGTGCTTCAAATGCATGAAAATATGAATATAGCTCCTTAAAAGAAGGGTATCTTTTCCTGATCCCACATGCTCAAAAGCAGTTTTAAATACATACATACATACATACATACATACATACATACATACATACATAATTTCTATACTACCCATCTGCCCTGAGTGATTTCTTTTTTAATTCTACTGTGTATTGCTCCAGTAAAATCCATCTTTTGACATAAGGAGCCACAAAGTGAAAAAAAATGGAATGAAAATGAAGTCAAAGAAATTATCTATAACTTGTGATCAAGTGACCTACAGCTTCATTTAATCTCAAAAAGGAGAAACCAAAATGAATTTCTCACTAAATAAATAACATGTATTTGGAAATAATACCCTCTCTCAGTTTCTGAAACTATAAAAACCTGAGGATGTTGCTAATTGTCTGTTGACATTTGCTATTACTGTGTCTGTGGCACGGGTGTGTCTATGGCTGAGGCACGGGTGTGTATTTAATTTTAAAGCAAATAATCCTAGTGGTTGACCCACTATTTATAAAGAATCTCCAGGTACTTGAGATTTAAGCTGATGGTAAAGTTGCAGCATGTTTAATCAGATTGAATGAAGATCTAAAACAGGTTTTCCCCACCTAGCCGACTTCTGTATGTGTGGACTTCAACTCCCAGAATTCCTCAGCTAATTCAATTCCAGAATTCTGGGATTGAAGCCGGCACTTCTGGAAGTTGACTACATTGGGAGACAGTGAGACAATTCATATGCATTTGCAAAATATGTTAAGCTTGGTTATTGTTAACTTTGGTTAAGGTGTTTTTTGAGGAGGTTGGTGTTGGTGTTTTGATAATATAACTTGTTATATGGACCCAACCCCATTTGGTTTATGATACAGTGCATTATATGAATACATTGAGTGAATTTAGTGATTAGGCAAATCATCTTGACAGGTACATTAAGTGTTGGAAGTCCACACATCTTCAAGTTGCCAAGATTTGAGTTTAAATCAAGAATGGATCTCTCTAAACTTGCTGGGCATTTTGGATTATTTCAAAAGTTGATGTTTTAAATCAATGTGATTCTTTCTTCATCTCTTGCTTTTTTAAAAAAAAACAGTGAGTATTTTAAATATTTGGGCAGTTTACCATACTTTTTTTCCCTTTTGGTTACTGTTCATAGTTCTCTATGTGGATGTTTATTCTTGTCAAATGCTAAGTCATGAATAGGGGTGTTTGCTTTCAAATTGGACTTAAGCATTCCTGGTAGATAAGTATCAAGGCCAAAACAGTTTACCGTAGATATTTTGCTTTTGTTCTAGTTGCTCTGTTCGGTTTGCCTTGGTCCGGCTAATAAATATTTTATGTGTGATGTAAAGGAGTTGTCCAGACAAAGAAAATCTTATTTTTCCCAGGGAAGAAAAATAATAATTCTTTTGCTGTATAGCAGTGATGGCGAACCTTTTAGAGATGAGTGCCCAAAAACTGGCCCCGCCCCCCCGCCCCACTCCCACTCTGGCCCCCATCCCCCGCCCCGCCTGCCCACAGGACCACTCACTGCCTCCAGGGCCCGCCACAGATCACTCAGACAGCCCAGCAGCACTAT